AGGAAAGTCGTAGGTTTCACCAGAGCATGTCCCAATGCTCCCTGATCAAAATGTGCAGCGTACATTCCATAACGCTCACAAAAGCTTTTCACCTCTGGCCAACTCCAGAAGGTAGGACTTGAGAGCCCTTCCTGAGAACCATCCACCAGATCCTCAGCACTCAAGACCGTTTTGCCGTTCTGAGAAAAATCCTTCCCTATGAGTTCAGGGTCCCCAGGGCTTTCCATACCAAAGAAGACAGAACTCCCATTGATGACTTCAGCAGTTCCAGACCTTGAATGCACCGCCACGTCATATAGGAAAAGCATCTTCAGAAGTAAAACACCATCCTTTTGAGCTAATTCTTGATGTGGCCAAGGAAGACTCTTTAACCCCAACCGTTCAGGCCCACAGCGTCGGCGTAATACAGGTGGACCACCGTCTTCACCTCTCAACCTTGACACTGTCCTGCATGGAGGTCCTCCAACCACAGCAACCACCTTTCCTTCAGCCGCCAGATGCAGAAGATACTTCCAGACGCTCGAATTATGTAGGTCACCGCCTTTCTTCAAATCCAGCTCCAGTACCTCCACATCCCGACTGGGAAAATGCCATTTTTGTTTTCCCGAAAATAGGTGTACCACCACCCTTTTTGCTCGTGCCAGCCGTCTCCTTTTATGACGGTTGAAAGGCAACGCCGCAATATCTCCACGTGGCAACAGCTCCATCAGCATATTTTCTGGTATATCCCCATAATACCACCGAAGAAACCGCCAGCATGCCTGGACGAACTCCTCCTCATTCGCTGACGCTGTCCGCGCTGCGCTTTGCAACGACGCTTTTACAGCCACCTCGTTGTCCGTATTCGGACACCCTTGAACCATACGTGCCACCTTCAATGCTTGCTTTGGTGAACACCAATCCATTTCATCAATGATCTGAAGCGCCACCTCCTTTTCCAAACAAGGGCACCCATTCAGATCACGAACGCGAAGTTCTCCCAGAACAGGATGTGAGGCTGTGCACTTGCCACCACGCCACTGAACTCTGAGACCAACCAAGGCGCTCGCTTTGCCAATTGGCACTAGTGGATCTACCATTTCAGGAGTTACCAGGGTCCCACCTGGGGTAATACACATCTCCCGAGATCCAACAGCTAAAGACACCAACACCTTTTGCTGCGGAAGCTGTTCACCAGGACGAAGTGATCTGAGAGGATGTGATGCTCCCGAGTCCAACATGCCCATTCCCGAACACTCATTGGTGTCAGAAACCCTGGCCACATGTAGAACGCATACTCCTCGGCCTTCTCCCTGCTTCGGCAACAACGTGGCATCAGACGAACCGACTCCACAGTCCGCCCTTCCATTCCTCCATTGAGAATGGGACAACGACGCACGCTGCCTTTCAGCATGCAAAACCATTTTCTCAGCTGTTTTGTAATCCATAACCAAACAGCCATGTTCAAACCATAAGAGTTGGTCCAGCGAAGATTTTGCACTCACGTGACACATCCCATTGATCACGGTGAGGTTCGCCCCAAACTCCAAGATCAACCAGAGAGGGATAATCAGGGGCCCATTGTCTTCCCTAATCAACGTCCCTTTCTCTGTAATCCTCATTGTCACACCACCAAGCGCGCTTTGCACCATAACAGTAGTGTCGGGTAAACATTCCCATGGAAAAAGCGTCCGCACAAGATGCGTAGCAGCTGTATCCACCAACGCCACTCTCCCTTCCTGCTGAAACAATCCAGAGTCACATAACATTCGAACACTGGGATCCCCGCTTGATGCTGACTGCGCTGATGACAGCTTCATAGATTTCAGCACTTCTAACGCTTCAGCAAGGACCTGATTGGGTGTTGATGGTGATGAGGGACTTGCAGAACCTTTATCCAATCCCGCATTAGCCATCTCATCTCCCACTTCAGCCACTTCTGCCTTTTTGGCATTTCCCCATTTTGCACCTTTGCCGCCCTTTCCCCCTTTGGGAGAATTCCCTTTAGATCTATTCCTTTCAGGATTTGAGTCCGCATTGGAACTTACACCATCTTTGTATGGACATTGCGGCTGTAAATGGCCAATGGCCCCACATTCAAAACATCTTCCACGCTCCAGGGAGTCCTTATCATGGCGAAATTTGCACCGTGATCCGAACTTGCAGCCTGCTTCTGTCTTCCCATATATCCAACACAAAGGACGTTCACCATCTCCGCTGTACCTTTTTCCTTTTCCTTTGCCTTTGTCACCCTCCTCCGTCTCGTCACCAGTTCCCTTTTGGGCCTTGTTTAACCTGGCCCTTTTCTTGGCGTCCGAGTCCTGCTTCACCTCTTGTTCACCAGCGCTATGCAATAGCAGTTCGAATTCTGCTTGTAACATTTCAGCTAGTTGTGTCGCAGTTTCAGAGGTCGGCGAGTAGTCCACGCCCAATTTCTCCCGGAAGGATGCCACTCTAAAATGCACCGTAGGGTGCTTTGCCAGCAACGCAGATGATAAAGCATCCAATCCCTTGATAAGCAAGGTAGCATCCGGCTCAGATGCTCGCAACTCCCTTAACCGGGAACGCCATTGCGCCCATTGTCGTACTCCCTTAATAGCCTCCGAGATCGAGGTTGCTGAGGATGGTTGCACCAAGAAGTTTAACATCGTGCTGCGCTCGTTTGCTCCACCTGGTTGGTAAACTGTCAGCAAATTGTAAAATATCATCACCGACCCCAACATTCGAGTGGAAACGATCTCGGTCTTCAATCTCTCCGGAATCGCTTGTAGCAGCAAAGACACCGCTCTCTGCTCCAACAAAACATGCACAGTTCGAACCCCCTTGAGCCCTTCCAGCTCAGCCTTGATGCCCAACCTTTCCAGCGGAGAAACACTCAACCATTTGGCGTACGCCTCATACGCCTTTGTATAGACGGATTGCCACCACACTCTTCCTGTATCTGTCAGCGAAGACAACATTGGTTCGATCATTGCGATCCAATCACCTAGTGCCGTCGGATTGCTTGGTGTGTAGTCTGCCAAAGTAGGAAGGCTCATCACATGCTTCCCAAGAGCCTCCGGACGTTCAGTTCCAGAACTATCACCAATGTTTGGCATCCCACGTGGCACCACAGCTCCAGGAGGTAAGCTGACCTTTCCACCAGGCCCTTGCGGCAGTCCATGTCCCATTCCGGGCGTAAACACTGTAAGCGGAACCTTCTCTAATTCCAACTTCCCAGCAATCATTTTCCACCGATATGGAACATCATCCACCATTGTATATCCACCCGATCCTGTTGAGTTCTCTTGCATTGAAGTTTCCCGAGCTGAGACAAAACCGGGCTGATTTCCCAACAGTGCGGCAGAACCATCAACGCCTGACGGCAAGGAAGTAATCGGAACATGTGTTAAACCAGGTGGTCCACTTGCATATCCACCACTTGCAGAACCTCCCATGGGGTAATTCAATGGAGGCAATCTGGAGGGTTTCTTCCCTTCAGTTACGTGCATCATTGGCACTTCCTTCTCATCCTCCACGTGAACCTCCCCTTTCCTGGGCTCAGGCAAGGGTTGAAGGTCACAACCCTTTGGAAGGTCGTAGCCCTCAATCGGCAGCCATGTCCCATCAGGCAACACAGTCCAGAAGCCACCCATACCATCAGTGTAGAAAACTTGTCCTGGCAGGTACTGCTTCTCTGGAGTCATTCCCAACGGATATGCAGCATTCGCGTCCACCACTCCAGTGCTCCGTGCTCTCGAAGCTGACCCAGATGCAGCAGAGGTATAGCTTTTCTCCTCCACCCGATGCAGTCTATTTCCCAGCTCCTTTGTTTGCACAAGCAACTCTTTCAGCGCACGCTTTACCACCGCCATATCTTCACCTTGTTCTTCACCGCTCAAATCAGGAATGAGCTCTTCCTCGCCTTGTGTCTCACCAATATTCCCTCTTTCCATCTGGCCCATCAACCCTGAAGATGGCCTCTCAGCTGGAACCGGCTCCCGATCCCGAAGTTCTGGCAACGACGGTGGCCTTCTTGTTTCTTCACCACTCCTATCCCCTCCGCTCGCAGGGAGACTTGCTGGCCTTGATTGCCTTAGTCTCATCTCTTCATGAGCCCGCTCGCTCCAGAAAGGATTCGCTGCTGGAACCGGAACCACTTCGTTTTCCACCTGAGACGTTGGTTGTATCATTGCAACCTCCCTACCATCTGTCAGCGCTTGTACCATTTGTTGCCGTTCTTCACCCCCATCACCACGATTTTCTTCGGCTTCATTGGCCGCGGATGACAGTCCAGGTTCCGACCGACGCCGCAACATGTCCATTGCGCCAAACAAGCGTAGAATCTTACCTATACCGCAGGAAGCCTAATTTGGGCTCATAACCTACGGGGGGAACCCGAAGGGGGACGAGAAACCGAAAAGTCAACCCCAACAGAATCCCTTGATTTCCCTGGATCAACCACACAACAAACCCAAACCACAGGGCACTCACCTTTTACTACCAGGCACATGGCCCAGTCTTGAGCCATAAAAAATGATTTCCGGGTTTATTAACCCTTTCAACTTCCAACACTAACTTCTTTCTACAATACCAGTTGCAGCTCCGCATAGGGTTTAGGGTTTCGGGTTTGGGGTTTGGGGTTTGGGATTTGGGGTTTGGGGTTTGGGGTTTGGGGTTTGGGGTTTGGGGTTTAGGGTCGGTACCCTTGCTGCTTAGACCATCGGAACCCCTCCTTGGGTCTCCCCTGCTTCGCACCCTGAACACGCCAACCTCATGCTTCTCTTCGTGCAAGCAACGGGTCGTTTCTACCCTCTGACATATGGTCAATTCTCGCCCTAAACAAGAAGGGCCGCCTTCTTATCACCCCAAAAAGGGACCATGTGTTGGGACATGCATCCCTGGCCCCTCTGATGCCAACATGATTCTGGACATCTCATCTCTAAAAACCTTGCAAGTCGGTGAAACAGACTTCTGACCTGGAACTTCATTCCCTGTAGTTATATGTTGTAGTTATCTAGGATACCACATAGTATACTAATCTAGGATACCACGTAGACAACGTAACACAACATCATGACATGTAGCGGCTGCAGCAATGTAATTGCCGGGAGCCCGGGCCGAAGGTCACTCTGCGGATGCTCACCGCCATCCTCAGGAAAGGCTCGGCAGCTTTTTTTGGGTGGCTATTTATGGGAGGGGTGAAGGTCTAGGTCTAGGGTGTCGGGTAAGTTTAGGGTTTAGGGCTTAGGGCTTAGGGCTTAGGGTTAAAGGACTAGGCTTCTGGGAGTGTAGGGTCTTGGGTTGAAACCCGAAACCCTAAACCCTAAACTAACCCTAAACCCTATACCCTGTAAAACCTAAGCCCGAAAATAGCACTTTGAGAACCCGAAAAAGAGAGCCAACCCCCACAAAGGCACCTCGGAGCCGGAGTAGTCCTCAAACTCCTCCTCGTACTCCTGGAGCGGACTTGTCTCAAAGACGCACCGCAAAACCCCTGAACCCTAAACCATAAACCCCTAAACCCTTAACCCTAAACCCTAACCCTAAACCCTAAACCCTAAACCCTAAACCCTAAACCCTAAACCCCCCAAACCCCTACTCTTGAGTGCAAGCCCTGGCACCTCCTCAGCAGCTTCGGTGGAGGCCTTCCATTTCTTGCAAGGGCCCCAAAACCCTAAAAACCCACCCTAAACCCTAAACCCTGAACCCTAAACCCCCAACCCGCTGGCCCAGTCGATATGTCTGTTGAGATGGTAAATTCCCGAGTCTCGGGCTTCTAGGGTCTATTGGGGGCATTAGAGAACTGCCCATTTCCACCACTCCTGAAATCGCGCCCCTCCTGGCATCCTACACACCTAGGCCCAATCTATGCCTGCCAAGGGATTGAGGGATTGAGAGGAGCTAGGGCGCCCTTCCCCCCCCCCCCCCCCCCCCAAAAAAAAAAAATCTCTACCAAAACCCCCCGCATGTAGAGGCTTTGGGGGTTCAGGGTGTGCAGGGTACCCCAAGCAACGCAGCAACCCTAACCCTAAACCCTAAACCCTAGGCCCGAGACCCTAAACCCTAAACATTAATTGTTGCGACTCGGTTTCGCCCTTGCCCTGACGCCAAACTGGAAGAAGACAGCTGCCAATCCCTTTCGCCGCGCCGAGGAGAAGCCAGAGTGTAGAGACTATGCACATGCAAGCAGTGACAGCAGCAGCAAAGTTGCTGCTGCAAAGCACATGCCCCTGAGCAAGCATGGTACAAAAGACCCCGGCACGTGCAGGGCGGGGCGTAGCCAAGGGTGGGGCAGAGAACTATCGAAAAGCGTCAATGCTGTACAATGGCTTGGACCAAGCGATGCAACAGTCACTCAGTGTGTTCAGCTCAACAGTTGGTCAAAAGCTCAGGCTACATACGGCCTCCTGCAGTCTGAGATGCCTGCTTCTGCCACCCTCAGACAAGCAACAATAGCCCCTTCATTGTTGCGACTCGGTTTCGCCCTTGCCCTGACGCCAAACTGGAAGAAGACAGCTGCCAATCCCTTTCGCCGCGCCGAGGAGAAGCCAGAGTGTAGAGACTATGCACATGCAAGCAGTGACAGCAGCAGCAAAGTTGCTGCTGCAAAGCACATGCCCCTGAGCAAGCATGGTACAAAAGACCCACCACTCCAGCACTGGTAGCAGCCGCGTGGCGGATGCAGCCGCAAATTGAGAATCGCATCTCAGCCATCAGGAGCCAAGACACTTGCGGGAGAGAATGAGGTCACCGTTTATACTATAGAAGCCAGAGGCCCAGCACCGCAGCATACAGAAGTGGCCAGCACGCTCCCTCGCCAGATGATGGGTGCCCAAAGCACTCTCCGCATCAATAAGCGGGTTCGCATCATATCCCGTGCAGTGGCAACAGCTTTCCAGGCCCGGTTACCACTGTCGAGCGTTGGCATTCTCCAGCTGTACAATGAATTCCCAAAACCAAGATCGATCAGCACAATCCCAACAGACTGGAAAGACAGAACCAAACTATCAGGGCGGCACGAGTTAACGATTTCCATTCCCAAAATGCAGGTCCCGGCTTGCCGAACGGCTGTCAGGAAGACTTCACGACGCCCCAGCCGTTTGTCAACAAGTGCAAGGCCATCGACACCAAGCCTGCACACTAGTGTCTTGACCAGTTGCAGAGCAGAACAAACCCACCAAGCGCTGGAGGCCGTAGCAGCATGGCTCAAGCCCAGAGAACTATCGAAAAGCGTCAATGCTGTACAATGGCTTGGACCAAGCGATGCAACAGTCACTCAGTGTGTTCAGCTCAACAGTTGGTCAAAAGCTCAGGCTACATACGGCCTCCTGCAGTCTGAGATGCCTGCTTCTGCCACCCTCAGACAAGCAACAATAGCCCCTTCAACCCTAAGCCCTAAACCCTAAACCCTAAACCCTACCTCCATCCCGAGCCTCGGCGGTCTTGCTGGTCATGGAAGCATCTGGTCCCAGGTCAAGTGTGGCATGTCTTGGGATCTCTTTAGGTTTCATACTAAAGGGCTCACAATGATTCTTTATGCATAAGATATGAAAATGTACGTATAAAGAAATATAAAACAAAACATGAATAAATAAAGGTCAGCATTGGGTTTCGGTGGGCTTGAAGAGGAGCACAAGCCGCCCGTTCATCCCACAGCAACACGCCGCTTGGACACTGGCAGACATTAGACATTGGCATCCCCCCTGAGCTTCCCGGCACAGTTGCTCTTAAGGTCGTCGCTCTCATGTACGTAACCATACCCCGTTGAGCAAAAGATATCAATCCTGATTCTGGCCTTTAAAAGCAGGCTACGAGCGTGGCTTCACTCTCTGCGGCTCACGGAAAAAAAGCCCAGATTTCAAGGCAGCCGATCCCGCTAAACCCTCAACTTATAACCCTATGAGCTGCCGTAAACCCACAGACCGAGACAGAAGAACGAAGAAAAACGGGTCCCGGCCTTGCTCCTCCGGAGGCGCCTGACAAGGGTTTAGGGTTTAGGGTTTAGGGTTTAGGGTTTGGGGCTTGGAAGGAGGGACAGACGGGCCGGCGCTTCTGAGGCCTTCGCTTTCACCGAAGCTTTAAGGACTTCCCGCATGAACATCTTAAGGGGTTCAGGGCTTCGTGCTTAGGGTCTTGAGATTTGGGGGTTTACGAAAACAGGGGAGCCCTAATAGCAGGATCCCCTTAGACTAGGGACCCCAATCAGCTACCCCTATTTTCGGAAACCCCCATTTATTCTTTACGGGTTTCGGGCTTGCTTCAGGACATGACGGACTGAGGCCGGAAGGGAAGGAAATCCTTCTCTCCTCGGGCCCTACACCCCCAAGCTAAACCGGAATGGGTGGTAACGTTCAGAGCTTCTGGCCCAAGGGCTGAGAAAGGTTTAGAGTTTAGGGTTTAGGGTTTAGGGTTTAGGGTTTAGGGTTTAGGGTTTAATTAGGGGTTTAGGGTTTAGGATCAAGTAGAGGGCAGGGATCCCGGGGCCCCTGTGGCCTGCGGTGTCCGTGGCACGGCGGCTGCTGCCTGAGGTCTCTCGCAGAGTTTTCGTTTCGCTCCGTGTCCTTTGGGGTATGGGGTTTAGGGTTCAGGGTTCAAGGTTTAGGGTTTAGGGTTTAGGACAGAAGCCAAACTCAGTCCTCTCATCTCCACAAGATACAAGCGGTGCGTTGCAATTCGTGCGAGAGATTTGCGTCGCCGAGCGCTCTGAGACGGACCGTGAGCCCTCATGCTCATGCGAAGCCTCAACGCTAAACTCTTAAACCCTCATTCAACGGAACCCAAGAACAAAACTCAGCAACCAATGATGCGTGATACGCCATAAGCAGAAATCACTGATACGCACTTCACACTCATTTGAAGCGAGAACCTTTGAAAACCTGTGACCTGAACTCTGGAAGCAGCCCTCTCATTTCCCAATCCGGCAACCCTCAATGGGCTTCTACCCCTGAAATGACCTTCGCACCCTACATACCCGAAACATCCTGCATACCCGAGGAAACCAGCTAAACCCCTCCACTTGTTTGAAACGCCGAAGGTAACTGTTAACAACAGCCAAGCCAAGGCCATCCCACCTTGGCAAACTCCGACAAGTCCAGGCCCAGGTGGTAGGTGGTGTTCGCATGCTGCATGATGTCCTCCGGATCCGTTGGGGTCCGCAGGTTCCATGGCTTCATAAGCAGAGGTGAAGAAGAAACGATGCACTGACACAAGAAAACATGTTCCATCGAATCCGGCTTGGGCCTGCAAGAAGCTGTAGCAGAGGATCTTGTTGATCAGCGGCCGCTGTGGTGCATCCTAGCAAAGCAACTGCAAGCACATTGTCCCCACCCACAGCCACTAGCTCAATGCCGGGAGACATCTGCAGCAAACAGGGCGATTCGTCTGAGGTGCGGAAAGTGAGGTCAGCAGCTTAGCACGAGAAGGGTGCTTCGACTAGCTGAACCTGCGGCAATGGTTCCCGAGCAATCATCCTCTGCTGTTAATACCTATACCCTAAACCCTAAGTAAACCCCAACCTAAACCCTAAGCTCTCGTAACATTCTCAACATCTGCTGTTGCATGGCATTGCGGCATGCATATGAGTGGATGCGGGCAAGCGCAATCATCGGCCAGATCGCACGCAACGCATATGAAACCTGCGCGCCGCGATTGAAAAGCAGGTTCAGGGAGTGAGGATAGGAGTTACCCTAAACCCTAAACCTTAAACTCTAAACCCTAAACCCTATACATGCTCCTGGCCCCTGCCTTGCAAAGCATGCTGCGAATGAGGGAGAGAAGGTCCGGCGAGTAGGAGGCGTCCGGAGGCGGGTATTGGTCCTGAAGATCTGGCTTCAGTTGTGCTGGCGGATCCCAACGGTCCCGTCAGAAGGGAAAGGGGTGAAGGAACCCGGGGGGTTAGTTTAGGGTTGAGGGTCGAGGGTCGAGGGTTGAGGGTTGAGGGTTGAGGGCTGAGGGTTGAGGGTTGAGGGTTGAGGGCTGAGGGCTGAGGGCTGAGGGCTGAGGGCTGAGGGCTGAGGGCTGAGGGCTGAGGGGTGAGGGTTGAGGGTTGAGGGTTGAGGGTTGAGGGTTGAGGGTTGAGGGTTGAGGGTTGAGGGTTGAGGGTTGAGGGTTGAGGGTTGAGGGTTGAGGGTTGAGGGTTGAGGGTTGAGGGTTGAGGGTTGAGGGTTGAGGGTTGAGGTTGAGGGTTGAGGGTTGAGGGTTGAGGGTTGAGGGTTGAGGGTTGAGGGTTGAGGTTGAGGTTGAGGGTTGTTAGGGTTTAGGGTTTAGGGGGTTTTTAGGGTTTTTAGGGCTTGGGTTAGGGTTGGTTTAGGGTTTAGGGTTTAGGGTCTAGGGTTTAGGGTTTAGGGTTTAGGGTTTAGGGTTTAGGGTTTAGGGTTTAGGGTTTAGGGTTTAGGGTTTAGGGTTTAGGGTTTAGGGTTTAGGGTTTAGGGTTTAGGGTTTAGGGTTTAGGGTTGGGTGTCGGCTTAAGGTTTAGGATTTAGGGTTTCATGGTGTTCGGTGGAGTAGGCCTTGAGAATCTTGCTCGCCAAGATGACGAGCGAGTCCGCATCGAAGGGATGCTTCAGCGTGGTCATCTGCACAAGTTAGGGTTTGGGGTTTGGGGTTTGGGGTTTGGGGTTTGGGGTTTGGGGTTTAGGGTTTAGGGTTTAGGGTTTGGGGTTTGGGGGTTAGGGTTTAGGGTTTAGGGTTTAGGGTTCAGGGTTTTAGCGACTGAGGATGCTGGGGTTGGGATGCTCCCCCTTACCTTAATAGGGATCCTAATGATGGGTAATATAATCCCTATTGAGGATTGTTAGTATAAAGGGGAACATCCCAAGTTTTAACGATTGAGGATGCTGGGGTTAAAGCAAGGCTTTGTTTGGCATGGTGTTAAGGGGTCCAGGGTTCCTCAACACCCAAGTCCTTTCCGAGTGCCTCGTAGAGGACGACACCCAGACTCCAAATGTCGCTTTTGAAGTTGTACGGGCGATCCTGGCGAACACCGAGCCTTTGAGCCCTATTAGCTTCTTCTCAAAAATAAAGCAATAAATAGATAAATAAATTTAAAACAAAAAGTGTGTGTATATAAATATATGTATTCGTAAAGTCCACCAGGTCAACATCCAGCGCTCCTCGATGATCTCCGGGCTGAGGTAGTAGGGCGTGCCAACCTGGGGCTGGGGGGTTTAGGGTTTAGGGTTGAGGGTTTAGGGTTTAGGGTTTAGGGTTTAGGGTTTAGAGAGCAAGGTGCCAAATGCCCACCTGAAGATTCCGAAACATCCTGAAACCCCCAACCCCGAAATCCTGAACCCCTAAACCCTAAGCCCTAAACCCTGAAACCCAAACCCTAGCTACGATTTACATCCCACGAGCCCCGAAGACCAGCCCTAGAGCCACGCGCTTCCTGGGCTCGGGACCATGGTCCGGGCATAGTCCTGCTTGGGTTTTAGGGATCAGGGTTTCGGGTTTAGGTTTAGGGTTTAGGGGGGGCGGGGATCCTTTGATGGGGGGGGGGGACAGGAGATCATTTCCTGCAAACCTTCCTTTCCGTCTGTCGAACACACTGCATGCATCATGCCAGGTTCAGGATTCAGGACTTAAAACTGAGAGGGCGTGGGGACATCTGCACAGAGCGGGCGGGGGGGGAAGCCAGTGATGGCCTTGGTCGCGTCCAACACCCGGGCTATTCCGAAGTCGCCCAGCTTCACGTGACCTGGACGGAAGCATCTGCTTGCGACCCTTCCGCCTCTCGCTCTTTCATGCTCTTATATGGAAACCCCAGCAAGAACCACCAAAGCCGAACACACCCGAACTTGTACCTTCACCTGGGAGCATCCCCGGCAAAGCCTCGACCCCCCAGCAAGATTCCGGATTCGAACGCGCCGAACCCCAAGCTCAGTGCTGCACCATTGGACATGAGGAAGATGTTCTGCGTCTTCAGGTCTCGGTGTAAAACCTGGCTGCTCAAGCAACCACTGCATGGAAGTTGGGGTTCGGCGAGTCAAAATTCTGTGGCTCTTCAGTGGGCTTCGTATTTGCTGGCACCCACTTCTGCATCCGGGGATTTGGGATGAGTTACTCATGCGCTGGCCGCTGGGCCGGGGGGGCCTTCCGTTCGTGCACGTGCTTCAGGGCGAAGCAGGTCTGCACGAACCATTCCAAGATCTGCTCCTCTGCATTTGGGGCATTTCTCAGAGGCATTAATTTGGCTGTTGGGTAAGCGGTTCTTGAGGGCTTGGCTGAGCAAGCGCTGCCACATTCTCAAAGGCCATGAAATCTCTACAACATTCTGCGAGTGAATTCTGAAAGCAGTCAACACTCACTTCTCGCATCTGTCTCGACTGTAGACTCCAAAACAATTACAAACATCAGGAATCTGACCAAAACGTAGACCTGACAGCCGACATTTATCCACCGTACCCAACACACTCGTCCCAGTTCCTCAACGCCCTAAGACCAAGCTGCTGCTCTTTCCCCGGTCTCCTCCGGCAGAAGCGCGCCCTGCAATGCGGTGAATCTCTGAGTAGGTACACCTTGCAACCACCTTGAACCTTGAACTTGCAACCCTGACCAGGAACACCTTGGCACACCTCGCAGATTGAAACCCACAAAGCCCCATTGCGGAACGTCGCTTGGCGGGAGTTGTGACAAAGTCACAGGCCTCACGGCTCTTGATCTTCATGTGAACATCCCCGCCATCGGCATAATCCATCACCTGACCAGCAACTTGGTTTTAAAGAGCATGAGCCCGTGAGCACGAGCACCTAGCTTCTGAGTGCCCCGTCTTATTGCCAACCTGCCGGCTCACCTTCAATTCTTTTGTCCTGCACACCTCCCTCCATACTCGAAGCTGGGCAGAAAGAAGTGCCCATAAACAACCTGGCTCAGTTGTCCCGTAAGGGCTCGACAATGCAGAGGCGATGCTTTCTGGTGATGAAGACCTGCAGGCTCTCGCAGAGTTGCTGCGAGCAGGAGACTTCAGCACATCCCGTACCAATCTTCAGTTTGCCCATGGTCATGTCCACAGCAGCAGCATCCCCAAACCGTGCAAGTCACCACCTTTTCGTGATTGGGGCAGGAGCACCTCCTTCACTTCCTATCAGGTGAGACTGGGGGTGCGGCTACCCTTGGGGTGAACCGCAGGCACGCATGCACATGGATGCCCTGGGTACCAGGATGGGCTATTAGGCCAATCCCCAGAATCAACCCTATAAGAGGCAATTTTAAGGGTTATCGGATATAACAGCCCGTCCTGATGGGCAGAAGCTATGAGGCTTTTCTGGCGCGCTGGGGTCCTCTGGCTCTGTGGCTGCGACTCAGCTTCACCATTCGCTTTGCTGCCCGCACTCCGAGGATCAGTACCGTCCGCAATTCAGGGCGCCGATCCTGACCCCAGGATGGGCTATTAGGCCCTAGAATCCCCATAATCAACCCGATAAAGGGCCCTTTTTAGGGGTTGTAGTTATAGGGTAGATGGGCTATAATCCCCATAATCAACCCTATAAAGGGCCCTTTGAAGGGATCATAGGGTATAACAGCCCATCCTGACCAGGCTTGACAGGCTCATGCTGCTAGTCATTGAGCCCTCATCACCAAGAAGAAAGAAGAGCAACCGGAGGACGACCCCTAGATCCATCTGTGCACCCCATGGCCTTGACTCTCAACCCTAAAACCCCAAAAACTGAGGTTTTCGGGTTCCATAAACCAGCGAAATCCTGGTCTGTGCTTCATACACCAGCGAAATCTTGGTCTGCTTCTAAACTACTAAGGTTCGGGGGTTGAGGGTTTAGGGTTTGGGGTTTAGGGTTTCGGGACCAACGTTCTCTCAAGCCAAATCCGCAAGTCGTGGGGGGCTCAGCCTCCCGAAGTCCCTGTCGGTGCGGCCAGACGGCGCGCCGGCCGCACGGAGGCCCTCGCAGGGTTGATGCTTAAAGGGCTTGGGGATCAGGGTTTAGGGTTTAGGGTTTCGGGGTTAGGGTTGAGGGTTTAGGGTTTAGGGTTTACAAGGGTTTAGGGTTTGGGGTTTGGGGTTTGGGGTTGGGTTTAGGGTTTACAAGGGTTTGGGGTTTGGGGTTTAGGCTTTAGGGTTAGGGCAAAGGACAAGGTATGACAAGGTAGAGTACACGGCCCGAGATTCAGAAGGCAGGTTGGGCATGTTGCGGGGACGACCGGACGGCAAGGCTGAGAAAGGCAGGATGCCTTCAAGCAAGCCAAACACGAGTTTAGTGTTTAGGGTTTAGGGTTTTGGGTTTAGGGTTTAGGGTTTAGGGTTTAGGCTTTAGGCTTTAGGCTTTAGGCTTTAGGGGTACCCGATCATGGTTGTAACCTTCCGAGCATGTCGCTCACCTCTCTCAATGCGGGCATCGATGTACAAAAAACAAGGCAGGGAGTACCCCTAAACCCTAACCTTTCAACCCTAAACCCTAAACCCTACGATTCAAGGTCTACAGAATTCTGCAAGCAAAGCTTTCGGAGGCATCCCAACTCCTTCATCTTAGGGCGGGCCGTCAAGCAATTGCATAGGCCGACCATGACAAAGAAGGGTTTAGGGTTCAGGGTTTAGGGTTCAAGGAAAAGGAAACATGCTCTGCCACGGCAAGCATGTTGCCTCCTGTGGAGGGTGTCGGGCCAGTGACCTCGCCGTCTCTGACAGGAGGGCCTCACGCGCAGGCCACGGATGCAATATAGGGTTTAGGGTTTAGGGTTGAGGGTTTTGGATTTAGGGTTTAGGGTTTAAGGTCGGAATAATTTCTAATGTTCCCTTATGGTCCTGGATTTCTACTTTCTAGGATTGGAACTTCTACGTTCCGTATGAGCTGTCCCAACCCGAAGCATCTTTTTGCCATAATTGCTGAACCCTAAATCCTAAACCCTATGAATCCCCAAATCCATCAACTTGAACCCCTAAACCCTATAAAACGCTAAGCCCCAGAATTCCAGGGCCCTAAACCCCTAAATCTCCTCGAGGGCCTAAACCCTAAACTTTGAAACCCCTACATCCTAAACCCTAAACCCTAAGCCCTAAACCCTAAACCCTAAACCCTAAACCCTAAACCCTAC